ATTACTGAGTTTTGGGAGTTGCCTTTATATTGTAGAATCAAGTTCTTGGCCAGATATGTTTTGCAAGTATTTTCTCCCAGCTTGTGGCTTTCATAATATTATCTTTAGAAGAAAAGTTCTTAATTGTGATCAATTTTTAATTTATTAATTGTACTTTCAGTGTTGTAGCTAAGATATCTTTGCCTAATCCAAGATCTCAGAGATCTTTTCTTGTGTTTTCTTTTGGAAGTTTTATACTGCTGACTTTTCCATTTAGGTCTATGATCCATTTGGAGTTAATTTTTTATACATAGTGTGAAGGGTTTGAATTCATTTTTCAAAACATTTGAATAGGCAATTGTCCCAGCACTACATAGTGAAAAGATTATTCTTTTTTTCCAATTTTTAAAAATTTTTAAAAATAAATTGGGACAAGGTCTCGCTTTGCTGCCCAGGCTAGAGTGCAGTGGCGTCGTCATCGTAGCTCATTGCAATCTCGAACTCCTAGGCTCAAGCAATCCTCCTGCCTCAGCCACCTGAGTAGCTGGGACTATAGGTGTGTGCCACACGCGCCGGCTGAAAAGATTATTCTTTACCTGTTGAATCGCCTTGGCACCTCTGTCAAAAATCAACTAACCACATAATTGGGGTTCTATTGTATTACTATTCTGTTACATTAACCAATATGTCTGTTCATAACAATCTTGATAACTGTAGCTTTATATTAAGTCTTGAATTTAGTAATGCAAATTTTCCAACTTTCTTCTTTTTAAAAATTGTTCGGGCTATGCTAGGATTCTACATACATTTTAGAGTCAGTTTGTCAACTTCTACACAAAAATTTCATTTAATCTATACATCAATTTGGGGGAAACTAACATTTTAAAAATATTAAATCTAATCCATGAGTATGGTATATTTATTTGTTTCAGGTTTTTAATTGCTCTCAGCAATCTTTTACAGTGTTCAGTATACAATTCTTACATGTATTTTGTTAAACTTATTCCTAAGTATCTCAGTTTTGTTATTTTATTCTAAATGTTTTTGTAAAAATAACAGCTTTGAAATACAATTCATATACCATAAAGGTCACCCTTTTAAAGTGTGCTAATCAGTGATTTTTAGAATATTTTGAAATGTGCAACTATTACCACAATTTAATTTTACAACACTTTATCATCCCCAAAATAAATGTGTACCCATTTAGAAGTAAGTTCTTATTACTCCCTACTCAGCCCCTGGCAATCACTAATCTATTTTCTGTCTCTTTGGATTTATCCATTCAAAACATTTCATAAACATGAATCATATTACATGTGGCCTTTTGTGACTGGCTTCTTTAAGTTGTGTTTTCAAGGTTCATACATATTATACATATTAACAACATGAACATATCGGTACCTCATTCCCTTGCAGGGCAGAATATATTCTATTGTATGGAAATACCACATTTTGTTTGTCTATTCATCAGTTGATGGACATTTGGGTTGTTTCTACCTTTTGACTATTATGACTAATGATGCTATGAACATTCATGTACAAGTATTTGTGTATGTGTTTTTATTTCTTTTGGGTATATATATCCAGGAGTGGAACTCCTGGGTCATATGATAACCCCATGTTTAATATTTTGAGGAATGGCCAGTTTTCCAAAATGGCTGTACTACTTTACATTCCCACCAGCAAAGTTTAAGTGTTAAAATTTCTCAATATTTTCACCAATACTTCTATTGTTAGTATTTTTTGTTATACATAACAGATATCCTCGTAGGTAAAGGGGTATCTCACTGTGGTTTTTGATTCACACTTAACCAATGATGACTAATAATGTTGAGCATCTTTGCCTGTGCTTATTGACCATTTATCAATGGTCAAATATCTATTCAGATGCTTTGCCCATGTTTTAACTGGGTTGCCTTTTTATTATTGAAGTGTAAGAGTTCTTTAAATATGCTAGATACAAGTCCCTGACAAATATGATTTTTAAACATTGTTTTCCATTTGGTGGGTCATCTTTTCACTTTCTTGATGGTATCATTTCCAGCACAAAAATTTTTAATTTTGATGAAGTCCAATTTATTTTTTCCTTTGTCATTCATGCTTTTAATGGCACATTAAGAAATTACCACCTAGGCCAGGTGCAGTGGTTCATGCCTATAATCTTAGCACTTGGAGAGGCTAAGGCAGGAGGACGGCTTGAAGCCAGAAGTTCAAAACAAGCCTGAGCAACATTGTGAGATCCTGTTTCTACAAAAAATAGAAAAATTAACCAGGCATGGTGGCATACACCTGTACTACTTAGGAGGCTGAGGCAGGAAGATCACTCAAGCCCAGGAGATTGAGGTTGCAGTGAGCTCTGATGATACCACTGCAGACAACAGAGCCCAGACAACAGAGTGTCAAAAAAAAAAAAAAAAAGAAAGAAAAAGAAAATCACTACCTAATGCAAAGTCATGAAGATTTATGCCTAAGTTTTCTCTAAGAGCTTTTTTAGCTTTAGCTTATACATTTAGGCCCATTGAACCATTTTGAGTTAACTTGACTATAAGGTAAGAATCCAAATTCATTCTTTTGCTACTCATTTAAGTAAAATTTGAAATGCCCAACTGTTATTTTCAAAATCTGCTTTTCAAATTATCATACCAATCATTCTCTATATGAAAATAATCTACACAAATATATGTCCTTACTCTGGCTGACAGAGCCTAGAAGCAATGACACCTTAGCAGCAAAAAGTATACCTAGTGCCCCAATCTTGGTTTCTAATACTATTTATTCTCTGAGAAAAAGGAGCCAGGGATTCTTGGAGAAATGGCTGATTATAATACTGGGGCAGAAAATATACAAGATGAGCCTGAAGTATCTTGCAGTGCCAAAAAGTAAGAAAGTGGCAGAAGAAAGAAAGGAAGGAAGAGGGACAGAGAAAGGGGAAAATACCTCTATTTATGTCAAAGGAACACGAGCTAATTGAAAAAGGTCCTAATGACCACAGCTGGAACATTTTAAGCAACAAAACAGTAGTACTGGATTATAACCTAAAGTATAAATATCCATGAGTCTGTACTGATATGAATTAAATGACTGAACAAATAAATAAATAGAGGGAAAGAGACAAATCTCCCTTGAAGAATTCCAAGTAACTTATGTGGATTCTCTACTCTCTGAGGAGGAGGAACCATAACTCCTCACTCCTTACGTTTGGCCTATGCAGAGTGACAGCCTTCCAAAGAGTATAATATTGAAAGGGGAAAAAAAGAATAACTTTACAGTGTAGAAACCTGACAGATACTACCTCGACCAGGGAACAAAAGTCATTATCAACAGTGATAAACCATGTTGACAGTATGTACCCTTAATATAATGTGATGAAAATGACACTTTGCTTCTGTGGTCTCCCTCCCAAAAACTCATAATATCAGTCTAATTATGAGGAAAAACATTAGGCAAATTCCAAAAGAAGGGAATCCTACAAAATACCTAACCACTACTCCTCAAATCTGTAAAGGTCATCAAAGAGAAAGTAAGCCTGAGAAACTATCACAGACAAGAGGAAACAAGATAAATAAATGTAATGTGGTTTCCCTGGAGAGACAGAAAAAGGTATTAAGTAAAAACTATGGAAATCTGAATATACTATCAACTTCAGTTAATAATAATGTATTAATACTGGTTTATTAATTGTAACAAATGTAGAGGAAACTGGGAGGGGGATATATAGGAAATATCCTCTTGATTTTTGT